CTTGAAAAGTATAGATACATAAGTCTATAATCGCAACTAATTTACAGTACATACGTATTCTTATTTTTCTTTGTGTGTTTAATATCCTTCTGTAAAAAAAAATAGTCAGTATAAATTTAAATACTCCATGTTATTTATTTTTTGAGACAATGGGAGGAGTATATGAAAATGAGGCATGGAATATGATAATAGCATGGTGGAATATGTGTATGTTTTTTTTTTGTTTTGTTTTGTTTTGTTTTTGTTTTTGTTTTGGTTAAGTGTATGGTTGCTGTTACAACTTGAAATTATCAAGTCAGGCCAAGATTATCTTAGAGATTGCCACAGGCAAGTGGACGAAGGGTGTTCTTGGTCCCGTTGGGTTATGGATACATTGGCAAATAATAATAAAGGAGAACAATATATATATATATATATATAGTAAAAATAAATAATAAAATGAGATATTGAATGATGTGGTACCCATGTATTTATAAGATTATTATTTCTTAATAAATAGTCATTAAAAATGGAAATTGATGATTTTATTTTTTTATTAGTCATTATTTTTTTTTCACTACAAATTTTCACCATACAACAGTAAAGTCCATGGCCATAATATATAGATTGCACGCAAATTATCTGAAATGCCCTTTTATACATTTTTTTTTTTATCCATTCTTTCCTTTTTCTTTTCTTTCTTTTTCGGACAAATTAATTAATGACAGTGACAGTTTTCTCCCTTGAAAGAGAAAATGTATACTGTTTTTTTTAAATGATTGTTTGAAACAAGTTAATTATTTTGAAAAAGGAATCATAATAAACAAAGTACTCAAACCCAATCTTATATTTCAATCTACTTTCTGTACCTCATCTAAGCACTGCGAGGTATAGTTTTCCGATCATAATTTGATAAGTATCATTACACAAAATACTCACTTTATCCCAGAATAAGCATTCTATATATTGAAAAGAGTAAAACATACCTGAGAAAGTATATTAAAAACAAAAACCACACTTAAGAGAAAGTACCAATATTTGCTATGTGGCATTTTCACATTATATTTTTAAAATAAATTTTTATTTACACATCTAGACTTAAAAGGCAAATGCAGTCCAAATCCACCTCCACCTCCTATTTTCGCCAAAAAAAAATCCCGGATTCATAAAAACCCAAATCTTCATCCCCATCTCCACGACAATCGACTCCTAGTCAATTTCTTCTCCACAATAAAAAATAAAAAATAAATTCCTCATCAATTATCAATTGAGAATATGTGGTGAAATATATTCCTTTCCTATTAACATGTTCAATCTTTTCATTAGTGATGATCAACTACATCCTAATCGGATAAAATTTTGACTTTAAAAATTATTCTCTTTACCTCTCTATATAAATACAAAGGAAAAAAAAAAGATTCTCATTGATCTTGCTTCGGCCTTTGTGCTGGTGCCATTACAAGTATTAAAATTTAAATGATTTTATTTCCACAAATCATTTGTTTGACTTTTATTATTTTTTTTTTATTTTTCCCGTTCAAGAATAGTGTTATTACTATTATTTTTATGCGTCCATCCGTTACGGCTACCGTAGCCGTTGTCAGGTAATATGATGTGATTTTTTATATGGTTAGTTAGCCTAGAATTTTGTATGATTTTAGTTCTATTTGGATTGAATTGATTAATTGGAGTTTTGTTACAAAGTGTGATTTTTTAAATTTCTTTTTTTTTTATGTTTCATTCAATTAGAGTGGTTTTTTTTTAATTATGGAGTCTCGGTTTTTTTTCCGTATATGGTCAGTTATGAAGTGCGTTTTTTTTTTTTGTGTCGAGCTTTCAAGAATATAATTTTTGGATTTGGCTTTTGGACTTTTTTTAGTTTCTCATCATATAAATACTTCAGGTCGCTTCTTCTAACTAATTTATGGGGAAGCCTTTTATGAATTTGAGGTGGAGAGGGAAGAAATGATGTTTCTACGTTTATTTGTGTTTTTATATATCATTTTTACCTACAGAAAAAAAGTAAATTTCTCAATTTTTAATGGTCTATCTTTTACTTTCTTCTTTTTTATTTGCCATGGTGAGGTGAACTCTTTTTTGCTATAACTTGAAACCTATGCAAATTTATATTATTTTCATATGATATTTGTGATCAACCAGTTTCAACAATTAACTAGTTTCAAAATCATATTTTTGATATCTTACTACCTATAAACTTTTGGAAGAAATAGTTCCAACAATTAAGCGTATACCCTTTGGAGGAAGCTTACTACAAAACTATTATAAATCTTCAAAACTAAGTATTGATTTGGCACAGCCAATGGAGAACATCAATAAATTATGTTACTAATATTTAAACTTATTAGGATGCTTTTATATTTTGTCTAGCATTTACTTGAAGATATATGTTTGATCAAGTTTATTTATATTTAAGTAGTAACACTTATAAAACATTTCTAAAATCTTGAAACATTTCTAAAATGTACCGGGCCAAATACAATTTCTTTTTATGCCAAATACAAACATTTCTATGATCACACTTATAAAATATTTCTAAAATATATCATTCCAAATACAAAATATTTTTTCAAATACAAGTATTTCTAAGATCTACAGATATATTGGGCCACGGTCGCGCATTGCTCGATCAGACATCACTAGTATTGAAAAGAGTAAAACATACCTGATTTCTCAATACCATTTCTATCTATTTTGGGTGTAATAAATAATAATCTTCAGAATTCTATCTGAACTCAAATACATATGAATTACGCGCAAAATAATGACTTAAGAGGGCGATTGGCATAGAACTTCTGTAGTTTCAAAATAATTAACTGATGGCTACCTCGATTAAAATTTCAATTTTTTTTTTTAAATAGATGTGCCAATAAGTTTAGTTAGAGTGAACTCATTTTAACAACCCGAATTAATTTTGCTCCTTTTGTTTTATTTAAATAATTCAATTCATCATAATATATTTGTTCAATGAAATAAACTCTTAAATAGGAAAGAATGGAACACTAAACAGAGAAAGTAGCTGTCGAAGAAATAAATGTCTGATTTGGAAGGTATAGCACGAGATACCATTGTAGAAGTCATGATTGGTGTCGGTAGGGTAATACAATTGGAAGCATATTATGATCTGATTAGTTGTGACATATGGGCCGGGGTGGTACAATTAATCACAAGAATGGCTGCTCGTATTCTTTGATTTTTAGGTCAAGTATCTTTCCAAACAACCATATATATATATATATATATATATATTATATATATTATAATTTGTGATATTAATGTTTCTGTGATATGGTCCAACCAAGATATTATGAGATTCAATGTCCATTCTTGCCCATATCGATCCATCGGTTATATCTCATCACTTTTAGTATATAACTCATTCTATAAGATTCTTTAAAAAATTTACACTTGTTCTTTTAAATATCATCAAAATGTTGACATTTAAAAATAAACAATCTTGTCAATCTAATGAGCGTTATAAAAAGTGGTATGGTCTTAGGAAATTTTTGCCACTCAAAGCTATATAAAAAGTCATCGTGAACATGCATGTCAAGTTTTGACTGTAATTTACGGCTCATTTATTTATTTTTAATAAAATTATATTTTCTTTTTTTTTTTTTTTTGCTTATTCGAATCCAATTTGCAAAAGACTATTTATTCTTAGAGGTGGTAGCTAAAATCAAATGGTGTCATTTAGTTAAACCGAAAAATAAAAAATAAAGAAGGGAAAGGACGGATATGATGTTAGCACAGTAATACTCCTTCTGTTTCAAAATAATTGTCTAATTTTAATTTTTATCAATTGTACCTCTGAAAAGCAACATTGCACTTACCTTATAATCCTCTAGGAAAATGATACTTTTGGTGAATGAAAATAGTGACAAAAATATAGTGACTGATGTGGAATAATCGTGGCCTCTAGTTTTTTGCTAATTTCCTGTTGAAGTTTTATTTTTTTCCTAAAATTATATTTTTATCCTTAATTAATAAATAAACATATTTAGCAAGTGGATGATGTATTTGTCTTTTCATTTGTCACAATATATTTTCGATGTATTTAGTGACTGGATGTATCATTGCTGAATCCTTTAATCATCAGCCATTAGTTTTCTTAGTCCAACACAAACAAAATTTGAAATCATCGAATCACCTGACTTCTTAAAATTTCATTAATGAGAATCGAATGCAATCCCTAGTTCTAAGTTTAGGAAACTGGAAAAAGGAAAAACCAAAAAAAAAAAAAAAAGTTTTTCAAAGCTCGCCAAAACTCGCTTGTAATTCTGGAACTTTTGAGCTGCATTAGCTGGAAGCATGAAAACGAGAAACAGGGACTTACGTGTATGGTTTTGAGTTGATATTTTTACTTTTTCTATCCAAAAAACCAACCCGAGAATCATTTTGAGACAAAAAAAAATAATATTTTATTGAAATAACGAGAGGCATGATACTTATTACATGAGTCGAGGCAGAAAGCCAGATTAATTGATGCTCAACTTAATTTCAAATTGAGATTTGAATTTTCGATCGTTCTAGTGAAACCCATATAGCCATAAAGTGATAGTTCCAGTTATGGCATGACACACATGGCATCCTGAGTATTAATCATCATTCGATCTAAATAAACCCCTCCGAGAAATAAATGATACAATCAATTGAGCTTGATAAGAGTGGTTACTTGTGCGATTTTATGACCTTTGATTGATCGTTCTACAACAAAAATAAGTGATTTAAAAAGCATTTTAAAAAAATATTTTTAATATAAAAAAAAGCAGAAGGTACTTCAATTTGACTGTTCCAGCACATCTTACTTGATTATGTTAGTAGACTGAGTTCCACAATTGTGCTAATCATTCGAAGGAAAGGGCTAGCTGATCAGAACAATTTAGAACAATAAAATGATAAAAGATACATTAATGTAACATCCAACGATATCTTGTTTCAGTGCTAATAATTCATAAAAATATGAAGATCAGGTAAAGTATCACCATAGACATGGATAAGCGAGCGAAATGATTTATTTAATTATGATACGGAAAACAAAAGCAATTAAAATCCACCCACATATTAATGATTGTCATTGAATCCTGATACATATAGAGTGTGCTCCACAGTAAAAAAGAAAAGAGAAATGCTTACAAGGAAAGACAATGAAGAACTATTCTTCCTTTTTTTTTTTTTCCTTAGAAGAACCATCCTCATTAATTATTCCCTCCGTCCCGAAATTATTGTCTAGTTTGAGTTTTCATTTTCGATTCAAATTGTATTGAAATATTAAAACCTTAAATAGATAATAATTTTGGGACAGAGAGAGTACAAGAATTAATATTATAGAGCAAACAATTCAGAACTCCAAAAAAAATTCTCCAAATCACAACTTTGATACGTATTAGTTACTACTGGAGAAATCTTTTGAGCCAAAGAGCTGATCGTTTAGGGATCCTTTTCAATCCATTCTTGAAGTCAACATAGTTGAGGCCAAACCTCATTGTGTAACCTGAACCCCATTCATATGTATCAATGAATGTCCATGCAAAGAAGCCTTTCACATTAACACCAGCCCTGCAATTTCATTTTATATTATCATTTCAATCAGGAACTATCAGAATCAACCAAAATGATTAATTCTTAATTAGAACGATAATTGGAATTTTTAAAAATAGACTCACTTAATTGCTTCGTATAATGCCCTAAAATGTCCGCGGTAGAAGCGAATCCTTTGAGGATCATTCACCCCATCCTTAACATCTTTAATTCCTGTATCACCAATTCCTGGAAAATGGAAATGCACAGACATTTAGCTTGAGAATTTCTTCTTTGAATTAACAAATAGTGTAAATCGTATTGAATTATTATTATTAATTTTTTTTTTCTAAAAATACCATTTTCGGTAATATAGACAACGGGATTTTTGTATCTGTTCTTGGTGTAGACAAGGAGATCCTTCAGCCCTTCTGGATAATCGTAAAATATGCTTACTCCTGTCTGCATTAATGTATATTCGAAAATTGATTATTTCTACCAAAAGTAAATAAATATTTGCACAGAAGACAAAATGAGATGCCCCCTAGATTTTTATTTTAGTCGTCGCAAACCAAAATACAAGCTATGCTAATGGGTTCTTACCGGGGTACCGAGTAATCTTCCATTTCGTTCATCTGTGTATTACCCATAAAAAAAAAAAACAAATGAAAGAAAAAAAGAGAGACAAAGTTAAACAATGTTTCAAATGTTTGATCAATAAATAAATAAAAAATTAGGCGAAGATAAATAATTTAAGCCATTGATAATTAGTTTTTTTTTTTGTTTTTTTGTTTTTTTTTGTTTGTGGAGAGCTTGCTTACTTGTGAGATTGACGCGAACATCGGTAGAATAGCTAATATTGGAACCAATATGAGATTGGACAATATTTGAAACGTAATTGGAAGTGTAGTAATTCAATCCCACAAAATCTAAGGATCCTCTCAAACTGATTCTTTCTTGAGGACTGAATTTCGGCAGCCGTTTTCCAATAATCCTTTGCATAACTCTTGGATAATCACCATAAGTTAGAGGATTCAAAAACCTGTAGAAACCATAAAAATCATTGATTGATTGGATTTACTATTTTATCTCAAGATAATGAAAACGATTTTAATTTTGAAACAAAAAGAATAGTAATTTTTCGGATTTCCACACTCTGTCACTCATGTGGTCCATTCAATCAAACAATGACATAAAATATATCCATATGCAGGTAACATATGAAATTTTGTTCCATTCCCAATCTTTTCTTTTATTATTATTTTTATTATTATTTTTTTATTTATTTACTTGTTTTCATCCATTCCCAATCTTTAATTTGAGGATGCAACCAACTAAGCAATGATTTTGATAAGTCTGTCCATGTCACTATTTAATGTCACCCTCCCACTAGCTACTCTTATTTATGGACTCACTGAACAAGTTTGGTGTAGATATTGAGATTTAATCACATGTTCCCTCGTGAATATCTCTATTTGGCATATGAAACTACTCCAATATACGTACCCTAATGCTAGTTCAAATTCGTTGATCAATCAATAGCACATCAGTACACAAGTTCATGAAAAAAGGGGAAAAAGAATTGGAGAGGGTTAATGTTCCATGCATATCAATTTGAAGAAATAGTCAAGTCATGCACCTGTTCCGTTCTAGAATTATTATCCGATTAATTATACTAAAAATGAAAATTAGAAAGTAAATAGCTTACCATCCAAGGAAGAAGTCGAGAGCCCGATCGACGGCCTCAACATCGGCGGTCTTGTTGGAGAAAGGTATGAACCAATTGGTTACAAGCACTATTCCTATTTGTCCTCTTTGAGAAGCCTGTAAAAAAATACAAAAAAAAAAAAAAAGAAACCCCAGAAAAACATTAACAAAAAGTCCAATAAAAGGACAAAAAGAAGACAAATACGTTACTTCAATTTGATTTACAAAAATGTGTTATATATAATAGAGTATTCTAATAAGTTAATAAAAAAGTGGTCCCGCCACACCTTGTATTTTTGCCGGTACAATTTTGCTACCGTTGCATGACTAAGTAGAATATGATGTGCGACCAAGTATGGCTCGACGGCGGAGTTGCCCGCCGGACATCCTTTATTTAACCACGCCGAGCACCTTCCCGGTGCAAGTGTTCCGATGATGCTGGTTGAGTCATAACCACCGGTAGAAAATGACCATGGCTCGTTAAATGTGCTCCAATATTTCACTCTATCTCCAAATTCTTTGAAGCAAAGTTCAGCGAAATCACGGAAGTCATTTCTGGAAAACAATAATTAAATTTGTGATAACTAATAAATTCGACAAATCTATTGGAATTTGTAATTGTTCTTTCTTATGATGAATATGGGATAAACATGTTATTTAGAAACCCATTACAATGAAATTTTTTTTGGTCTTTTTATTTTCAATGTACAAATACAGTAATTAAAGCGTTAGATTAAGATGAAAATGTATTTCAAAATCATAGTAATAGAACTACTTTCATGAAACTTGCATTTTGTGCAATTTAATGTTTCGAAAGACGGCCACAAAGTTTAGGGACAAAATAAACTTTCTTTTTTCTCGAAGGTCCTATTGTAAACTAAATTCAAAACTAAATTTAGCTCAAAATTGTACAATAGAAATTGGAATAAAGAAGGATCAGAATATTTATTAACTGTATATGTAATATAACCAATAAAAGTAATTAATAACGAAGAAGAACAAAAACGAAAGGAACATATGTTTAGCACATTTTACTTACATAATTTGAGGGCTTAAGAAGCCACCATATTCATCCTCTAGTGCTTGAGGTACATCCCAATGAAAGAGAGTTACAAATGGTTGTATGCCTGTTGTCAACGGTGTATTTTGTTAAAATTAGGGATAAAATATTAAAATTAATAAACGTCAGAAAGTTATGACTAATTAATTCTAAATCTATATAGGATGTGTAATGTACACATATAATTACTCAATTAGGTGCTGTTAGTACTAGTTGACTTGTGTTACTCGGGTATATGGTTTCTTGGCTTGTGTCGAATTTTTTCCTCATTAATGCAATAATAAGTGAACTAAAAAGGCAGAGTTTGGCCGGTTTAGAAAATTAACCTTTTGAGAGAAGGTCATTGATGAGATTATTGTAGAAGGCTATCCCTGCTTTATTCACTCCTTTACTAAGCTTCCCACCTGAAATTCAAGCAGATCAATCAAATAAAGAAGCAATTAAATATAATGAGAACCGAATTTCCGTGTAGCAGGTTGTATTGGCTTTTTTGTTTTTGTTTTTTTTTTTTCTTTCCTTATGTCAGACGAAAAAAAACAAATTTGGATGTAAGACTTTCAATACATAGAGAAAGTTAAGTTCGGCCGGTGGAAGAAGAAAAAAATTTTATACCGCAACTTCAAACTTTTAACATTACCATTGCCTTGACAAATCTCTCTAAAACTTGTTCAAAACTATACTCGTTTATTTAAAATAATTAACAAAAAGAATTTCGTATTTACTTTCTTAAATCAAATAATAGCATTTCACAGACGAGACCAACAATAATTAGCCTCGTCACCAACTGGATCTAAAATCCATCTCTTTAATAAATATATATTAACTGACTGTAGCCTATCTCTGGAACGCTGTAATCGCATTGTTATAATATATCCATCTTATTACCAAAAAATAAATTAAAAACTAAATGAATTAGATCATCGCATTCGCGTCTGTTGAGTTCTAACCAATGTCCTTGACCAGTTCTGAAGTCAACTTAATTAAACATAGAAGTAAATATAATGGATGCAGAGATCCAAATACATTAATTAAAAGAACAAATTAAGAAGTTGCTGCCATTGGTTGACCAACTGCCTTTGGGATTTGTGTTGAATCTTTACGAAATTCGGAGTCTAGGGAAGAACATGGGAGGATCTTTTCTGGGTTTCGATGATCAATCATGTGTAGTATCACAATGCCACATGATTAGTTGACTTTTAAGTGAAATATCGATCGAGTTTAGTGATTTTTCTTTCTGTTTTTTATTTTTTGGCACAACTATAATACTTCCACTATAATGCTGTTACGTTAAACGTTGATGTAATCGCATACAATAAAATCATATGTAATTTAAGAATTCTTAGTCAATTCGATATGATGTTCTTAGACAATTTGATAAATTGGTGATTGGACGAAAAGAAAAAAAAAAACAAAACATATGCTTGATTAATTACCAGGTAAGACTCTTGCCCAGGAGATGGAAAATCTGAATCCATTCAAATTCATGAATTTCATTAGTTTGACATCTTCCTGCATATGTCACACAAATTAATTAAACCAAAAACATATCATAATTCCACCGTATATTGCTTTTCTCAGAAGAGTTTTGCATTATAACTAATTAGTACTCTCACATTTTTCCCATGAAAATCAAGAGCATCTTTCATATACTCATTCTATCCTGAAATTATTGTCTAGTTTAGATTTTTATTTTTAAGTACAAATTGAACTAAAAGTGAAAATCTAAATTAGACAATAATTTTAGGATAGAAGGAGTACACTTTTTTGGGTTAGGGGGGAGGGGTTGCTTAGTTACCTTATAACGATGATAGAAATCATCAGCTACGTCCCCATTGCTGCGATCTAATATTTTTTCTGGAGAGGGGAGAAAAAAGAAAAAGAAACAAAATAACAAAAATATGATCAGTAAACTCCTTTAGTTTTTTTTAAAGATGGAATCATAAAAATCAACCTTAATAATTTTTTTCAAAATTAATGAAGTATAACGTATTAATTGGCACTCTTTAATTATGTCTCAAAATAAGGATGTTTTTATTGGTTGAAAATGTACAGTGTATTATGAATTAAAAAATGAATTAAGTGGGTGAACAATTCAAAAAACAAGAAGAAGGTACATATTTGTATATATTAATTAAGAACAGGAAGCTCAAACCTGGATATTTATGAGTGAAAGTATCCCAGATGCTTGGTCCTTTTCCATCTTCAAACGCCGCTCCTTCATACTGCCGGCCGGCCGGTCGTCGCCCACATGAAATTCCACCATTGTCAATTCATATTTTCACCAACTTAAAAAGTTAAATTCCAAAAGAGTAAATAAAAAGGAAAAAAAAAGAAGAAAAAGAAAACTTGTTAATCACTCATTTGAATGCATAGTAATTACCTGATAAGCAGAAGAAGCTGCTCCAAAAATGAATTTTGGTGGGAAGTTACTCCTTTTAACCTCTGTGGATACGTTACTTGGTTTATGGTTTGTTGTTGATGAAACAAATTTGGCACTCAGGAACAAATTTGACAAAATTAAGAGGCTAACTAGTAAACTCAACTCTCTAAAAGTAGCCATAGTTTACCGTTTGCCTCGACCAAATTTTCTTTGGACAAACACCTTTAAATAGGGAAAAAAAAAATTTCAGCCAAATCGATCGAAGATACAACTTGCACAATATAATCAATGCATGTTAATTAATTTCTGTGCCTAATAAATTAATCAAAGGATCAGACTCTGATCCTGATTTTATGCTTATTCTCCTCGCCCGTCAAACAGCCGGATTGATGAAGGAGGAAAAGAAAATAATTAATTGTTTTGATGGATCGTTTTCGATATGATCACACCATGATCAATTTTTTAATTACATTTTGAAAATATTTTCATGATCATTTTTGATATATACGATTAATTATACAAGCTATGATAACTTATTTTATGTGGTTTGACCATATGATTCAATTATTTGGTGTTAAAATATATATGACGTGGATGTGATTTTGGTAACCAGTTGTTGTAGGACTTAGTCGCTTGTTACATTATTAGAAATTTCAAAATAACGTAAATGGTTCATTTTTTTCCTTGATATAATTTCTTGCAGTTGTATTTCTCCACCATTGAAAAATCACTGTTGACTGTAAATAAAATATATGACGAACGTTGTTATCTACCATGTGAGAAGAGTAGTTAAAATGAAATGAAAGATGATCAAATATCCAAAAGAAAACTAGTCGATGAAGAATGGTACATCGTCGATAGTGAAATGGCTATGCCGACAAATGATTGATGATAGATGGGAAAAAAAAGGACTACTAAAAGAATACTGAGAAAATGCCTGGTTGTTAAGGCATCTAGCTCGATTGTAAGCGTATAATTCAATTAAAATACAATTCATCCTCCAAGTTCACTTAATTTGTTGAACGTTAAAACAGGACGGAATAAATATTATTTATAGCAAATATCCCCGTGTAAGAAAAGCCTACTAAGGTCTCGTTTGATAAAACTTAATTTGGGTCTAAAGTCTGAAATCTGAAGAATGAATCATAATTATTGAACTGGTTAAGTTTGTTTTGTTTGATAAAAATCAAAATCTGAAAATTGAATAAAATGTCTGAAATCTGAAGTCTGAATACTGAAATATAAAATATCTTGACTTATTAATTTTATCCAAAAAAATTTGATGTATGTGAAAATATGATAATAAAAATAATAGTATTATCATAAAATCATGCAATAAAAATATATAAATTTTATTATGGAATTATTTTTTTAGTTAATAATAATATCATATCTTTGTCATTATCAAGAAAAAAAATCATACCTTCATGGTAAATATATATTTATCATGGACTTTTGACGTATTTTAATTATTTTTATTAAAAATAAATATTTATTAAATAAGAAATAATTTATATAAATTTCAATTTATAACTAAACATCAAGATTAACAAAAATGTTTCGAGATAAAACATCAAAAGTATAAACATAAAAGTTAATAAATAGGGAAAATAATAGTTTCAAGAATTCAATTCAGATATAAGTGATAGGCCTATCACTTATTTTTAGACACATATTTATACTAGCATTTCAGACGCACTTAATCTATTAAGATATCTGACTTTGAGTTATCAAACGCACTTAAAATTTAAGTCCTTAATTAGTTAAGTTCTTAATCAATTAAGTTGTTACAAGATTGTGCTATCAAACAGTGTTAATCAATTAGGCACTTAATCAATTAAATTTAAGTGCTGATGAGTTTATCAAACAGGGCCTAAGTTGCTAATAACTTATAAAAAAGAGAGTTCAATGCTGTCTGGACTGCACCCTTTGCCTGGTGATCTTGAAAAGTAATCTCCTGATCCTACTAATAAATATAATAATGGCTTAGTTACTGTAACTATGACAACAATTGCAAAATCTCTTGGTTGTATGACGATCACCGAGGACTTCTATCGAACATGTAATTGCCAATTGGCAACTTATTTACCTTCACATATTGGAGTTTGGTTGATTGCACCTTAGAGTTAATTAATAAGAACTCCTACTTTTTTGGAACTAGTTTATTTGAGCCTAATATTTACGGTAACTGCAAAAATAGACTATAATTATTAGGTGTTAAATGGGGAAACCTAGCTAGTGATAGGCCTTCCTAATTGAGAAGTTAATAATTAGGGGGCTCAAAACTTAGCCGGGGCCGAAATTGTTGAGTCTTGATGATCTCACCAAATGCGCATCCTAATTTTATGAGATTAGAAATTAATAGACCCTTAATGAGCGGGCACTGTTTTAGGTCAGAGTGCTTAATGTCCTTAGAACTCCTCATGGACTAGAGATAAAGACATGCGAGCAATTATCCCGAAGGTTGATGACCGTAGAAACCTAGAAAGGTTCCCCCAATTAATTATTCCAACTTGCTTACAAAAGTGTTGCAAAGTCACACACGTAATAAGCCATAATCTTCTTTAAGACAATGCCGTAGCACTTTTATTTACTTGTCTTTTCGCGTAACACTTTTAGTCAAAAATCCCCCTTTTTGCTATCTTGAAAGCGTTAGTAGGGAAATCTCTCTACATTGCTTCCATCCAGATTAGCTAATTAATCCATTGTTTCGTGAAGGTTTTGCGGTAAATGAAAGATGATTCTTAATGAAATGTGATTTGATCCTTTAAGGGGTATATTAGGAGTAATTCTAAGTCATAATATGTAATCATTATATTATCCATGACTTAGTTTTCACCAAAAGGGTTTGCTAGAACGTTTTGATTTTAAAAATGATGGTAGATTGAAGTTCAAACTGTGGGAGAGATTAAACCGTAACCGAGAGAAGTCAAAACAAAACAACTAAATAAATAAATAAAAATTAGCCAGAGTGTATCGATCTGTGCATCAAGTAAAAGAAATTGAGGACAGGTACCATTTTCAACCAAAAAAAAAAAAAACAAAAAACAAATTGAGGAAAAAGACGACGAAAGCCCATGTCCCATTGTTTTTCTTTTTGTTTTTGTTTAATTAGACTTAAACGTTACTGATAAATTTTTTTTTTCCTGATTATGTATCTGTTATAAACATATTTTATACTCCTTCTGTCAAAAAAAAAAAATAGTGTACACTAAATTTTGAAATTTATACTAAAACTTTATACAAATTTTAAAATTCAATGTGGATTTTTTGTTTTTTGGACAAATGGAATAGTATTTTAATAATTATTCAATAATTTTTGTGTGTAAAAGTATTTTATTTTAGGTACTTATTTACTTCTTTATTAGTCCAAAATCTCATTTTATAACAATTTTGTAGTGTTGTGGCCGTCCCACCACCCTATAAACAGGGATATGAACTGAACTTTTGTAATTAGATGATAGAGAATTTGGATTTTGAGAAATTGTGAATTTTTCTTAATTTATAGATTTTCTTTTGGGTAAGTCAAACTGGGGTGGTTGTAATTCTACAAAACTAGTTAATTGGCGTGTGTTGTTCATTAATTTGGAGGCACAAAACATCAATTTTGTTTTTAGTACATCTAATCGTTAGCATAAATTTTTAGATATGGGTTGTTAGAGTCAACATCGGGCTACGAATCAATATTGTCCTAGCTTTAATTGTTGGATGTGAAGCTGATGGCTTGAGCGGGAGCGCTGAGAGTATTCAAACACTTGCTGTGATGAGATAATTCTAGTGATAACACCAGTTGGCATATCCATGTTATTGATGAGAAAAATAAGTCATTGAAGCACATATATAGGAACAGGTGATACTCTTTTATGGGATCTTCAAAAGGGTAATATTTCAAAGAGATTAAAAGCAAAAACTGGTAAAGAGTGATGTTTTAGGAGATTTCCATGATTACTGTTTAATTTCCATTAGTTTGAACCTCGATGGAATGAAAAATTTTGATACTATCACTGTTTGTTACTTAATCCTTCTTTCTAAAAAACACACGTAGTTGAAGTCATATTTTGGTGTGGCTTTCCTATAAATTTGAAATACTAAAAGATGCCACGTTAATTACCAAGAAGCACTGTTGGTTCGAGTGAGTATTACAGTATCAGGGCCTAGTCTGGAAAATGTTGTTATTCAATATGTATGGTATTCACAGTCGATAAGAGTGCTTTAGAGTTGACGTATATTTGAAGTTACATCCATTAAAAAAAATAAAAAATAATTAGAATCTTACGTTAGAACTATTACTTACTGAAAAAAGACACGGGATGACACTACAAATTCGATGTTTGGTTGTGCTTCACTTTGTGGATAATCGGTAATCAACCTCTTTAGTTAGCTTCTTCATTAGGCTTGAGAACAAGCCTGCTTTGAAGGGCACCGGGAGAATGATATTGACACAATTAGATAAGAACTATTTATGATCATATGTGGGAGGACTTTCTTGTAATGTGTTTTAACAGTTATACTGTTGCTATTTGTAAAATATGCGGTTAGACATTCGTGAAAATTATATAAAAGGAAATGAACTTAATCTGGAATACATCTGTACCTTTAATTTCCCAAATCCCCTCTCCTTTGATTCTATTCCTTCAACCAATTTAGGTTTATTTCCTCAATCCTTTCAGATTTTTCCAATTTCTCGGAGAATATGTAGAATAAGGCAAGAAATTTTTTAAAGTAAAAAAAAGAAAAAAAAAAGGAATAAGAAGGTAAAGAAGGGAGAGACAACTTAAGTGGAGAGGAGAAGAAAAACTAACTTTATGTTCTCTCATGCATATATAACAAACAATTGTCTTCACTACTAAACAAAAATCATCATTGTAGTCTTATATTTCAAAGCCATAATATAAACATATTCCTGAGAAGATCACCATGTCTACTTTTTTTTTTGGGTTAAATATAAACATGTAACACATATAATCAATCAACCCACGTTTACAACAAAAGTTTCTGTCCTTGCAACTATACACTATTACAAACTCGAAAGAACTTAGACGGAATTTGCTGTTCTTCATTGCTAAACTTGCTCCTCATGAATACTTTGATTCTTCGGTACACCTCTTTCATGATTACGTTGAAAATCTGGTCTTGTCTACTCTTCCTAATGCATATTCAACGGCTTCGCTCTTCCCCTATTTCAATGAAATTATTTCTGCAAACCATATCTTGGAGCCTCTTTAAATTTGTTCCTTTCCAGCACTCCTCCTTTGACATCCTTGTAACTCCTAACTAATAAGCCCCTTGGTGTTTATGGCTCTCTGAAACTTTCTGACACAATGCACACAGTGGATCTAACATATGAGCCAGTCTGTCTCTTGTTAAGAGCCTTCAACGCCACACACAAAGCAAGCCATGCAATAAAAAGAATGTTTCGGCACGTTGCATAGATACTCTAGCTAGCTTTATTCTTAGGCCTAGCTAGGGATCAATCATCCCAGCCATCAAAACAATCTTTTTTATTTATTTCTTGAACCTTTGCCATGAATATTCCAGCACAACGGTTAATCTCATGTGAGGAGAGGATTTCCGCGAAGTACTTGATTCTCAACCGGTCTAGAATCTCATTATCTCGCTCAAGAACTCCAGTGAATTCCAGCTCCCATCTCGGATCGCCTTGGTATGTTTCCATGTGTCTCATCGCGTATATTCCACAGTCAGTGAAGTTTTCAGTATCCTGCCACCTCATCTTCAGGACCCGGATTTTCGCGTTCTTGAAAATCCGGGCTGTTGCCGTAAGTTTCTTCCTCAACAAGTAATCAACGAAAAATCGTTTTAGCTTCTCGGCGGGCTCAATATATGCATTAGATGAGTTGTCGATCACGTCGATAGTGTTCATCCATTTGTTAAAGCAAATGACGGAAAAATGGCTGCGGTGGTTGACCGTGAAGAATATCAGGTTACTTGACTTTTGGGTGAGCCAAACCCAAAAGTGTGGAACAAAAAATGTGTAGGGTTTATTTTGTGGACAAATCTAATGTTCTCGCGTTTTGAAAACGCGAAACAATCAAATTAGATTAACATTTCGCGTTTCACAAACGCGAATAATGTTAATTCCATGCACTCATCTTCAAACGGGTCGAAAGCAAAAAAAAAAAAAGAAAAATCGGTTTTTCGCGTTTTTGAAACGCGAAAAACGTAAGACGCGTTTGCAAAGCGCGAAACTTTGTTTTCGCCTTTGCAAAGCGCGAAACTTTCTTTTCGCGTTTTCAAACGCGAAAAACTATTTTCGCGTTTAAAAAATGCGAAAATCTGTAAGTTTAAAAGTGTAAATTTTGCAAATAAGAATTTAGCGTTTTGAAAACGCGAAACAAATTTCTAGCGTTTTCAAAGCGCGAAAAATAGATTTAGCATTTTTAAAACGCGAAAATATCCAGAAAATCTCCTCATCCACTCACCCGTCTCCACGTGTATTTTTTATGATAAGTCTGGAATGTATTCGCGTTTGTTAAATGCGAAATATAAGATTCATATATAAAACAAGCTTTAACAGCATTTCTCCGCAAATTTCTTTCATTGTTCAGCTCCGAATTTTCTTTCCAAATTTCTTTCATTCTGTTGAACTCCGATTTTAAGTTTTACTCCGGAGGACTTGCTGAATTCGTGAAAGCTCTCATTTTCTTCAAATTGAGAAGTTGCTCCGAGGTTAAAGAAGATTGATTTGAGTCCTGAAGCCTATTTAAAACTCTAAGTTTTAACATTGAGGTAAGTTTATTTCGTTATTAAAAACATGTACTTTTTTATGTTTTATTATGAGCATAGGATGATTTACGCATTATTATTAGTTAATATATAATTGTGATTTAGTCAATTAACGGTGGTTTTTTATTGAGGCTGATAAAGTAAATTAGTTAATAGAATATTAAATTAGATGAGCATTGTAAATTATTGTACATCGATTTCTGTAAAATAAAATAGAATTATAATAATGATATTGAATTTTGAATATTTTGACATAAGAATAAATTATGTAATTCGGGCATAAGGTTTAGATTTAATATTAATTTTGAGCATACAAATGAATTTGTAAATTCAGCGTATAGTTGTTATTTTAAAATTATTAAATCAGAACGGGTAAATACTATGGCCGCAAACCGATTTCGTAGGAATTGATTTTACAGCCGCAAATGTCTTTCACGAGACGGTTAAATGCAAATTATCTTGGAATACTACTTATACAAGCGAACCCGATGGGACTATCACGGTACAGCGGGATGCGCCGGACGGTTATCTTATCATTGATCGTATGTTAGATTTCTCGGAACTTGTTGATAAGGTATTAAGTGTGATCGGAATTGATAGAGAAGGGCTTTATATTGATTTTTCTTTGGTATGGACGGAGAGGTCAGGAAAAAGGTCTCGTGTGCACATTTAGGGTTTGTGGGGTGTTGGGCTTCGGGGGTTTAGGGTTTGGGGGATTGGGTTGGGTTTAGAATGTGGGTTTAGGGTTTGGGGGATTGGGTTGGGTTTAGAATGTGAGTTTTTTGGGTTGGGGATTGGGTTGGGTTTAAAATATGAATTTTGGGTTGGGTTTAGAATGTGGGTTTTGGGTTGAGGATTGGGTTGGGTTTAAAATATGAATTTTGGGTTGGGTTTAGAATGTGGGTTTTGGGTTGGGGATTGGGTTGGGTTTAGAATATGGGTTTTGGATAATAAAATGTAGGGTTGGAATTTTGAATGTATAGGATAATTAGATTAGAATAATAATATTAATATGTATTTACTAAAATGTAGGGTTAAAATATTTAATAAAATAATAATTAGATTAGAATAATAATATTAATCCGTATTTACTAAAATGTAGGTTTGGAATTTTGAATGTATAGGATAATTAGATTAGAATAATAATATTAATCTGTATTTACTAAAATGTAGGGTTAAAATATTTACTAAAATAATAATTAGATTAGAATAATAATATTAATCCGTATTTACTAAAATGTAGGTTTGGAATTTTGAATGTATAGGATAATTAGATTAGAATAATAATATTAATCTGTATTTACTAAAATGTAGGGTTAAAATATTTACTAAAATAATAATTAGATTAGAATAATAATATTAATCCGTACTTACTAAAACTATTTGTAAATTATACTAGCCATGGACATTGGATCATCTTCTTCCTCCCAATCTACCTCAAAGAAGCTACGGCAGGGACCCAGAGACAGTAGTTTGTTGTTTCTCCAAACGCCCATAGGTCACACAATATATTCCATGGTGCACGGTATGATATAGGGATTTGGAGCCCGGCGCGTAGATAGCGCCGCGTGGAAATTAATAAAAGATGCACCGAGGTTGACAAAGGAATATATTGAGAAATTTGGTTTTGGACCGTTCTCAGAGTTGGGTCCATCGGATGTGACCATGCTCGCTTACGGCTCTTGTGGAGCGATGGCGCCCGAGACCCATACATTTCATTTACCTTTTGGGGAGGCTACTATCACACTCCAGGACGTCGAGGTTCTTTTGGGCCTTCGGGTTGATGGACGTCCGATTCAGGACATCACACCACGCCTGATGGTGGTTGGGCAGCCTATTTGGAGAGGATGTTTGGATTTAGGTTCCAAACAGAGGAGTCTAGATTGACGAGTGTTTCCATCACCGAAATAAAGACTCACATAGAGAATAATCCTTTGACGGACCTGTCCCCTGACGATGCACACCTACAGCGAGCCGGTTGTTTTGTTGGATGGCTCGTTGGCGGATTACTGTTCTCAAACACTACGAGAAACAGTTTTCCTCTCGATCTTGTGCATTTTCTTCATACTCCCGAGATTTGCTCGGAGTACGGTTGGGGTAGTGCGGCACTATGTTACTTGTACCGCAGATGTCCAGTCATCTCGGCCGCTTCGCGAGGCTATTACAGGTGTGTGATTCTTCTTCGGGTATTTTATCTTTTCATTTCTCTCTAGTTTCATTTTATATTCTCCCATTATTATTGGTGATTTTAGCTAATGATTTCTTCATTCGAATTAGCTCTGGGCACGGGAGCGGATTTTGACGGTTCGGCCCAAGATATGGGTGGGGATCTCGATCTATCCGATTGTCCATTGGGCACGAGGTAATCTTATACATCAAACCTTCGTAAATTTTGACATTTTGATTTGTCTTGTCATGTCTCAATTTAATGTTACTTTCTCCGTGCGGGTGGTCCGCGAGAAAAAGTTCAAGGTATCACGCGGTTCAATTTGGCGCGTCGGGATCACTTGCGTTCTCGCAGAGTCGATGTTAGTATTCTATTCAATCAGTATAACTTATGTTTTATTCGTTTTTTAACGGTGCCGAACTTTTAATTACACGTCTCTTACTTAATTACCATTGCGGTTTGTCGGATGCCGTACACGACTCTTTTGGGTCGTATTGCCGTGGTTTGTCTTGTGGGACAGGGCATATGGCGATCTCGGACATGGCTCATCTGCGGTGATGTCGTTGCGCCACACAACCCCGTAGGGTATTTCGCCAATTTGGTTATCACCGGCGGATACCCGCGACGCATTACTTCTCACTGCGGCGGAAATTACTAGCTGCTCAAGAGGAAGCCGTTTGGAGGATCCGATAGGAGATTGTTACAACAACTAGGGATATATCTCCAGGTTTGGAATGATCGCCACGGCCAAGTTGTGGGGACTGATGATCTTTATGTTGGCGAGCCTTCCACGATCCGGAGTATCTCTTGTGGTACCATCGAGTTCTTGTGAAGTATGTTACGGATCCAACGGACTCTGAAAATGCGAGGGGTTTTCACGGTTCTGCAGAGACCTTGCGCCTCATGGTGAGTATTTCGCCTACAGTCCATTTGGTTCTTTTTATTAACACTGTTGTCGATTTATGATTCTTTCTAATAAAAATTTCAGGCCACATTGATGGAGGACGTTCGTAGTCTGAGTATTATAGGCCAGCGTACTTTCGACGCGGACTCCTTTGGTTATGATCGCTTAGGCGAGATTGCCCAGTTCTTTGAGCGGCGTTGTCCGTCACTGCAACAAATGTTGTACGTCACGATCTCGATAGGCATGTTGAGGTTCATGACATTTTGAGTCAAGAACTTGCACCTGTAGACCCGACCCAGCAACATCCACCACCCAGACCTCCGAGGCGTTCGCGCAGGTCTCAGCGTGGGCGTGGGGGGCAAGAGACAATCACAACATCTCGGCCACATCGGTCCTCCAAGCATGAGCAGTCTCATATTCCATTCATGGCGGTTCATCCCATCGGTCTCCACATCGGTCTCCACTCCATTCTCGACAGCATTCAGCCCATCGGTCTCCACATCATTCATCCCATCAGTCTCCACATCATTCTTCGCCGACCCATCAGCGTTTTACCGTCCGATTATGTCTCCCAAGACCAGTGAGTCAATTTTCCTTCACTCGGTTTTCCTCCCCTCGGACTTCTCGGCGTCGGTTTGGAGATTCTTTTATTGACTTTTCAGGTTTCAGAGTTCGCTAGATGGCGGTCGATACATTACACGAGTAACTTTCTTTCGAGTATGTTCGAGGGTGTTGCGGGTCGACATCAGTGATAACCCAGTGAGGTGAGCGTGAGAGTCGGGGTGAGGATGAGGTGAGGATGAGGCCGAGGATGAGGATGAGGATGAGGCGAGGATCACGGACGGGATGATCGGTTTGAGGTCGGGGTTATCGGCGCCATGAGGAGCGGGGATCGAGTCGACTCTAGGGACTCCACCGTTGGTGTGAGTAAAGGCCGAGAGTGACGAAGGAGCCCGATAGATTGACTTATAGCCTTTTCGGGCTAAAAGCCCAAGAAGAAGTAGGGTACTAGACTTCTTATGTAGTATTATTAGACTTGTATTTTTTTCCCTTTTGTTCATTTCGTTTTTTTTCCTTTTGTTATGACTTGTTTTATTTTTTTTTTACCTTTTCTTATGACTTGTAGTATTTTGTTATGACTTGTATTAATATTCTTAATAGTTTGATTTCACCTGCATCGTAAATACAATAATTAATATTTATAAAACACATCTTCGCCGATCAAATCGAAACACATATTTAAACTTTCTTATATTTTTTTTCATAATTAATAGTTGCTTCATCTTAAGTGTTGGTAAATTAAAATAAATATTTAATAAAATTTATTCTTAGTTTAAGCTTTTTTCTTATATTAAAACCATCATAATTAATAAAATTAATTTGTAAATTAAATTACATCTCATTAAATCCATAAAATTACGTAATTATCATTATTGAAAATTTTTCATATAAAATTATTTTTTAAAATAATGATTACATTTTTAATAAAAATTTTTAATATAATCATTATTAATTTTTTTTATATAATGTTCTAAAAAATTAATACATTATAATAACTATATCATACTTTTAATAATTTATATTTAGTATAGCTCTATTTTATTTAATGAGTATCAATTATTATATTATATTCTTATTCAAAATTTAATTTTCGTATTATTAAAATTATCAATATAATTTTCCTCTTTATAGCTCTATTCAAAATTTAATGATTAACGATTATAATTTTAAAATTTTCTGTTACCATTATTCAAATTTAATAATTTTTTGAAGTCAATTTCCCTATAACGTTTTAAACTAGTCAAATTAATCATATTTTTATGCCTATTTTCTTTTTTTATTAAATAAAATGTTTTTTTAATTGATTTCGCGTTTTCAAAACGCGAAATCTTATTGATTCAAGTTAATTAATTAGGATTATGTTAAATTAATTTTTTCTCCTTCTTTTTCGCGTTTCTGAAACGCGAAAAGTATATATTCGCGTTTTTAAAACGCGATTTTGTGTTTTTAGCGTTTTCAAAACGCTAATTTTGATTTTTTCGCGTTTCTGAAGCGCGAGAAAACTATTTTTGGCCACAATTTAAACCCTAAACATATTTTGTTCTTCATTTTTTTTTTCAGATACTAATAAGTAAATTTTCCAAGAATATCAACCTCGCTGTTGAAAGTGATCTCCTCTCTATAGAATTACACCTCAACTCCAGATCAATTCCCGAGTTGAAATCGTCTTGACTCCGCGGGAAGAGTAGTTTCTGTGCATTGGAACAAATATGATATGACCACGTGGAGAAGTAAACGTAGTCACGTCCCTTGTTAGGGCTTCTCCTCTTGTAGTATTCCAGATTATTCATTCTTACACACCAAGCATCCAGGACGTCGTTCAATATCCACTGCCCAGGTTTCATGTCCATGAAGTGTTTCCAGGTGAGATTGCAATAGTTTTCGAGTGCGAAAACTACCTGCTCATCATCATCAGCCGGAGATTCTCTTCCAAATATGTACTCAGTTGTCAACTTCTCAATATCGGTCAACTCTTCTTGACGATTCGCCGTTGCATCCTTGACCAATCTCGCTTCATGATTTGTCCGATTCTCAAACTCCCGAATGATTGTTGTTATGGCGGATTCAACGTGATCAACAGGGTTTGTTTCTTTTGCTTCGACTATCGCTTCAACCATATTTTTTTTGGTGACTAGCTAAGGCAAATTGAGAAAGATGGAGACCAAATCTAGTTTTTGTCTTATTAAAGAAAGAGCAAAAGCGAATAAATTAAGATTCTCTAGGGCTTCACGAGGTCTTCCAAGTCGTCGATCGTCGTGCTTCCTGTTGTGTAACTATGTATTGATTTGCAGATAGTTTGAATCCCTCTATTAATTGCTAGTATCATATATATAGCTGTGGCGATTTATTTGTGGAAACTAGTTTGAAAACCTAATACACTTTGGTTCCCTTAACCAATAAAATTCGGAGTTCTTTTTTGTTGTTTCCTTTTTTTTTTTTGCCTTACATAATTAAGGTACTATTCAAAACCCGCATGGATTATTTTTCACTACTTTTCCTTGCCAAAAGTTTCTCGAAGGATTAGGAAACTACGTTCTCCATTGTTTTCGAAAGTGGGTCAGGCGGCTTGATACGTAAACCAATATAAATTTTTACTCAAATAATTGTACTAATTTTTTTATAAAAGGTAAACACTGAAATTTCATTGCATACTTGAATCACAAGTTTACATCACGTATCAAAATTGTGAATGGCACGCTCTACAACAGCGACACCAAATTCAGTTCAAACCAACCAAAAAAAAAAAAAAAAAGAGAAGAAAGTAGCTGCTCTATTTACGGACCAAATTAATTTAATACTGCTAGTTTTAACTAGTGGTACATGAATTTTCTTGATATATATATACTCTTTCACTTGGACGCATCTTCTTAATAATCTCCATCTCATCTTATTGCAGATTGTCACATGATATTGTGAATGTTGCAAATAGTTATACCCTTGTCTAGTCGATTTCATTGATCATCTTTTCTTGGGGCTCAGATTCACGTGGAATTATTTGCAGTTTTAATCCCTCAAGTTTTGAATTTCTCTTATAGCCTTTTTAGTCCTTCAACTCTTGATTTCATCCCTTTGAGACTCTGAGTTAATTTTACCCTTCAATTTATTCCAAAAATCAAAAATCCAGGCATTTATTCACTGAGTAATAGTCCTACTCGTCTTACAACACAACATAAAAATACTAATAAAAATTTATAATTAATATGTTACTTTTATGTATATCATTTCTCTACTAATATTTTTCGTTCGTAAAATTATCTTATTAACTGCGATAGATGATAGTGTACATTGTTATTTATCATCTGAGGGGAGTGATCAATATAAATTGGAAGATAATTACGAAGATTCCTAAGAAAACTAGTCAATAGATAGTTATTGTTAGTGAAATGGCTGTAGAGACGAATGGTTGAGGAGAAAATAAAAACCCTACAAAAGTAAATTTGACAAAATGCATGGTGTAAAGTGTAATTGTAAATGTGATTCACTCATTCACAAATTACAAGCTTCAACTTTTTTATTCAATCAGTCATGTTTTAACAATACACTCTGCTTAGTTAAAACAGTAAAAATAAAACTTTGTTCAGGAGCATGATCCTTCGGTTCTTGCACCAACCCACCGGGAGAAACACACAAGAAAAGAAAAAGCTTTTCTTTTTTTTTTTTGGGTTAAAAAGAGTGTTTATTTTGGTTCATATTACGTTTGTCACGTATTTTGACTTTATTATTTCAATATTAACCGAATAGAACCAGTTAATAATGATATAATAGGAAGGAAGGGGAATAGCCTAAGATTGATCAGAAAGATTAATATGGCTCAATAATAACTCATACTGACTCCAACCATAAAACAAACTTAATCCAATCTACATATTGTGGTACTTTTAAATTTTAATATCTCAAGTCACTATTAGATCCCGTTGGTGAAACTCGACTTGGTGGAGAGGCTATGTGATGTAATTAGATGGTGAATACCTTTATTAAGGAATTCAAGAGGAAGTGCAACAATGGATATATATATATATATATATATATATAATGAGTGCCGATACATTTTAGAAAAATTTACAGAAAATGATATGAATTAATTTTAACTATTACCTAACTCTTAAATCGATAAAAATTATGTGTAAGTATAGACGGTTAGTATTTATTCCCAGTTAAAATCTCCAATAGATTTACAAAGATGTTTCCATAAATACTACTATCAATAATTGCTCAATTCGAACCGCGCAGCTTGCGACCATTGATAAACTCTTTAGAGGCAATGGGCAAAAGAAAAATACAACAGTACTTCATATACTGATATATCAAAATACATGAGTTTTGTCTTCTTTTTTTTTTCAAAAAAATACAACCTACACAATTTGAAGTTTTAAAACATACACGAATTAACACCAAAAAGCACACAATTGAATTTTTTTTTTATTACTGATGAACACGTACATACTAAGCCCAAATACATAGTTCAAGCTTCTTGTATAACAATCTATATGTCACATTTCGACACTCATAATTTAATGCATAGAATTTTGGATAGATTTTTTCATTAAGAGCTGAGGAATTTCTTGTAACTCAGGGCTGAAAATTTGGGATATCTCTTCAACCCATTCTGATAATCAATGTAGACCAGACCGAAACGGAGTGTGTACCCGGAATTCCACTCAAATGTGTCCAAAAATGACCATGGATAGAAGCCCTTCACATTCACGCCAAGGCTACAAAAAACAATCACCAAAAACAATCCCTTAATTTGGTGTCATAATTTGCTTCTGTCTCCCAATTTGAAAACTTTATCCAACACATTATTCCAATCGTGGAGAGATATAGTCACCAAGTCAAAATTAATTTTTCAGTCTGTATATTTGGATTTTGGGTCAATTCAATTACTACCCTGATCGTCTTTGATCGAAGCATCCGATAGCATAAGGTCAGGTTGTGATTCATCGACAAAGAAGTAATAAGTCTAAATAGAAAAATAAGGTAGGTTAATTAGGATGAACCTACTCAATGGATTTTTTGAGATACTTTAGATGTTCTCTGTAAAAGTTGATTCTTTGGTTGTCCATCACCCCTACTTGAACGCTGTTGACGCCGGTCTCAACAAATCCTATACCAACCAATCAACCATTTATTCTACATTTTTTCTTTACCAAGAACGTCAATTTTCTTTAAAAAAAAAAATTAATGAAAGTACAACTTTAGAATGTAAAACTTTGAGAAAGTAAGAAGGTCTTATTCATATATACCATTCTCTGTGATATAGACAAGTGGATTGTTGTATCGGTTCTTGGTATAGACGAGAACATCTTGAAGACCTTTAGGATACACAAAAAACATTGAATTTCCCTCCTGCAGAGTTTGGTTAAAACTATCATTTAGTAAATACTCTTTCTGTTTCTTCCCCAGAAAAGTGCTTTATCTTGTAATCTATAAATTGTACTAAAAACAATGGCTAACAATGACTAAAATGAAAAATAATCTATTTTGTAATCTACATTGTAATCGCGTCACTATTAGGATCTTATTTTTGGACTAGTTTAAGATTCATTTTTGTACATTTGTAAGAATGATCATACTGTTGCAAAAGTGAGACCGAGTGGTGTGATGTTATGTCGATCTTGAATATATATTATGAGTGTGCTAGTTGATTTCTCGCAAATTTAATAAATATCATATTTATAGCAAATTTTTATTTTTGAGTAAAAGGTTTCTGTAAAGAAATGATACCTGTTCACCAATAGGTTTCCCGTTCCTGATGGCTGTAACAAGGAGAAATAGCATCCAAAATCAAAGAATTATAGGTTGCCAAGTGAAAAAGAAAATTCCAAAATAAGACTTACTTGATGTGAGTACGTTATTGTCGGTTGAATAGCTAATATTTGTGCCAACGTTGCGCGTAGTGTTGGCCGCAAAATTGGCAGAGTAATAATTCAGTCCGAAGAAATCGAAAGAGCCTTTGACGAGATCCGATTGAGCCGATGTGAATTTAGGTAATCTGTTGCCAACAAGATCTTGCATGCTTTGTGGATAATGTCCAAAAGCTAATGGATCCGCAAACCTATACATTTTTTTATTTGTAGACCACCAAATGTATTGATCAATTTTTCTCTATCTTCTTATGAAGAAAAATGTATGATTTCCATCACAAAATAAAAGTCATGTTCATCGAATTGGTACGTAGAAGAAAGAAGAAATAGATTGTTGTTATGTACCATCCATAAAAGAAATCTTGTGCGCGTTGAACAGCTTCAATGTCAGCATTACTGTTTGAGAAGGGCTCATAAGCTTGTGTAGCAATCACGATTCCGATTGTCCCTTTTTGAGATGGCTGTTAATAAAGAAATAAAACATTCAAATGGTTATACAATCCATCCATATAAAATTTACGGGTTTAACGCGGCTAAAATAATCACTGTCTCTATCAATACTCAATTAACAGTATGAAACTAAATGATTCGAGAAAATGAAAGTCACCTTGTACTTAGTTCAGTAGAGCTTAACTACCGAAGCATGAGCAATAAGAATGTTGTGTGCAACAATGTAGGGTTCAGTTGCAGAGTTTCCGGCGGGGCAGTCGTTGTTCCTCCATGCCGAGCATCGTCCCGGAGCCAATATTCCGAGATCATATGCCAGGAAAGTAAAGATATTGGGTTCATTGATAGTTGACCAAAGCTTCACTCTGTCACCGAATTCTTTGAAACAAAGGTCCGCAAAATCCATAAAATCATTCCTGTGTAACAAACGAATTGAATAGAATTAATGTGTTTTATAATTATAGGCATGCATACGTACGGTTCGTAAAATTTTCCTTCATTCACGACAGAAAAATGATTCATCGCACTTTTTTTTTGTATCACTTATTTACTTATCGATGTAACGCCCATCCACCAAAGTTAGGTCTATAGTAATATTTATGATTAAAAAAAATGAAAAATGATATTATAGTGAAAAAATACTTATATATGTGGAGTATTGAAATTTTATTTTTTTGCCCTTGAAATTATATTTTTACTCTTAATAATAAGTGCACATGTTTAATGAGTATGATGTATTTGTCTTTCTAACATTTGTTATATTTCGTCATTTTTTTTTTTTTGCACATTAATCTGATTTCGTACGTGATTTTGATGCGGGCAATCCACTTACGTGATTTGAGGGCTTAAAAAACCATTGTATGCATCTTCTAGATGTTGAGGAAGATCCCAGTGGAACAAGGTTACCAATGGCTTAATACCTGATAAGTAGATTTGAAAAGGTGCAAAATATTTTCATGTGAATTAAATTCTTGTAAAATAAAAATTAGAAATAAAGAGAGAGATTTAATTATTCAATAAATTAAATGAAACAATTTATTCAATATTAATGCCCAGTCTAACCATTCGCTAGAAGCTCGTTGATAAGGTTGTTGTAGAAGTCGATGCCTTTTTGGTTCACCCCGTCACTTAGCTTTCCAGCTGAGATCAATTGAAACCTTATTAAAAAAATGAACAAGAATATTTGAAAATTTAAGCAAAAAAAAAAATCATTTGATTTCAATTAATATATTAAGAAGTTTTACTTGGTATAAGTCTTGGCCATGAGATGGAGAATCTAAAGCTATCCAAACCAATGAATTTCATTAGTTTTATGTCTTCCTGCATTTTGCAAACACTTTGAAAGTTACAACCTAATTAATCAAAATTGCCTAAAGATTTTTCTTTTTTTCGTAAAAGAAAATATATTAGACTTGCTAATTAATTGTTTCGTAAAAGGAAGTGGTTATCCATTTAAAGTGGGGTTCTTGATGTTACCAAAACAATAAAGTAAATTAAAATAAAATAAATTCCACATCTATATGAAAAACAGTGCACGATGAGTTTTTAGATATGTACTAAAAATTTAAAATAGTAAAATTTACAAAATTCAATGTGGATTACTTGTTTATATCTATACTAAAAATTTAAAATAGTAAAATTTACAAAATTCAATGTGGATTACTTGTTCAGGAAAGATGGAGGGAAAAAAACGCCTGTTTCTCATACCTTGTAACGATGATAAAAGTCTTCAGCTACATCACCATTAGAATGATCTGCTATTTTATCTATGATCCAAAAGAGAAAAAAAAAGTGAATATCACTAGAATCATGACATAATTAATTATTGACTTTTACATGTGGTTTAGCTACCATGAAAACTTGGTCAATGTACGTATGTGTTTTTTTTTTCTTCCTACGTGTCCGATTCAATAATAGTAGTGTTGTTAACCTCGGCTCAGACCGGCCAGTTGAACCGGTTTAATCGGGAATCAGATCTTAATTTGAGCATAGTAGGGTATAAATTTATCATTTTAAGACTCGGTCAAAACCAGTCAAAACTCCGGTCGAACCAAAAATCGATAAGAACCGGATCAACCCAGAGTTTCTTAATTTATTGACTTTTTGACCAAATTTTGCACTTTTCTCCATAAATGTTCACTTTTTCTAAGGTCAGCTTTTTTTTATTAAAAAATGACCCACAACTTTTGATATTTGTTTTTGTTTAAAGTATTAATATATTATTTTAGTCCCTAATTTTTGCATTCAACTACTAAATACATAATTTTAAATTTTTCATTATTTTTGTTATACAAACTAACTCCAATAATTAAATAAAATTTAAATTCTAACTCAAATATGTTGAAAATGATTTTACATTAGATTTTTATTAATTTTTGAAGTCAACTATCTTGCAAATTAGATAATATTTTTTAATAATATTTTAATTATTATAATTACTTTTTTAATATATTTATTTAGTTCACAAAAATTGTAATTAAGTTCTATAAAATATTAATATGAACTATTACAATAGAAAAGGGATATAAAATAAGTTTTTTTAATTTTAAATATATTAAATAATTAAATATTATTATTTATTAATAATAACGTCATCCATATCAACTCCCGAGGCGAGACGAATTGACCCTTGAGTTACTTGACCCTTGGCCTTTCCGAGTCAGCCTCCAAACCGAGTCTGACAACACTGAAATAATAGCTTCCCCAGTCTAATGAGTATCCCCACTATCTTTTTAGTTTTCCCCTATGTTGGGATAAGTTATAATTACTTTAATGAAAAAAAAAATTGTTCATTTTATTTTCTTTCTTGGTGAAAGTTGTTGATTTCAATATTTTATTTCGTAAGGAGTTAATCTTTGAATAGAAAATGGTATTTCTATTGATTAAATAAATATGCTTAAGTGAAATATTATAGCCATCAAGTATTTCATTCTCTTTCACCATCTTGACCAACAAAAAAGAAAGAGAGATATATACTACTGTATAGTCATTATTATTATAAAAGAAATTTATAAGTAGAAAGGTTTGACCGGATATAAAAGTACGTATATGTGTGGAAAAGTATATGTGCGGAGAATGTGTCAATACTGAAAATCTGTTTGTCCTATTATAGTTTTATTTATTCCTTAAATATCTGTGTGTTTACCGTAGTACTCTTCCGTTCTAAAAAAATAGTCCACTTTAAGTTTGAGTTTTGTACTGTCTTTAGTACAAATTTGAAAACTCAATGTAAACTATTTTTTTGAGACGGAGGTAGTATTATTTTAATAGCATGACTACTATTTTAATAGTATTATCAATGAATTCTTCCGGTTCATTAATGCCATCATGAATATTAGTGTCCTTGTGCAAATTTTCTATAATCATGCAAAAGTATGATAACTACTTGTTCTGAATAATCAAGCGCAGATTAAAGAATGTCCATCGAATAATTGACAGAGAGAGAGAGAGAGGGAGAGACTTGAGAAGTTGTGGGTGAAAATGTCCCATATGCTTGGTCCTTTTCCATCTATGAAAGCTGCTCCTTCGTACTGCAAATCAAGAACATCAAAAGAAGGACCAAAACAATCAGCTGAAATGAATATATGGATCTTCAGTCAGAATCACGACCACTCAGTTGAATCTTAATTGAAGAATAAAAGTGGTACGTTCATCTCTTGATCGGAACGATAACTGATATATTTAAGAGTTAATTTGGAGAATTTTGCCAAGAACAATGGGATCAAAATAAACTGAGTTTGAATATTTCCTTCCAAACTGGACAATTAATTCGGGATGAAGTGAGTATTAAAGTTAAACCAAGGCGAAACGTTACCTGATAAGAAGATGAAGCTGCTCCAAATAAGAAATCTTTCGGGAAATCAGAGCGTTTAAGACCAAAAGTCACTATTTCTTGGGCCGGATGTTGTCCGGATGAAATGTGGGCAGAAGAAAGAAAGAGAAATAATAAGAATAAGAATTTATGCAAATAAAGAAAGTGGAGAAATGCCATTGTGCTAAGCAAGAATAATGTATTACTATATTTGAACTTGTCTGAAGTTTCACCTCAATGGCTCCATATATATATATAGCAGCCAATACGAGGGTTTGTGTTTGTTTGTTTATTAGATAATAATTACACGTGGATATCTATATTCTAAATCGAAAGGAATATCCCAAACAACCCGACTCATCAGAATTGAATTTACCGACTCATCAGAAGCGATGTGGGATTCTCGATATAAATTACATCACCAGAATTGAAATAACTCGAATCAAACAAATTAATGGAATTGGAGCCAGTAAACGGATCCATCCAAGGTTAAAAAAACTAAGTGAAGATTTACCCCGATGAACTTCAAAAAGAAGAAAAAGTCACGAGCATTGAGAATTGTCACCGCGCGTATAGAGTTGCGTGAAAGGAAATGCAAATGAACTTGAATTGGCTGCTGGAGGAGGGGGGAAAAAAATGGTTGGCCGTTTGATTTGAATTGGGTAGGAAATTTTCATGTGGCGGCATTTCAAGAGAATTATTGAGAGAAGGAAAATGGATGATTCATATTCATTCCATGTATTATTGTGCTCCATCTGGACCAACAATCGTTTCAACAAAAACGTGTGTTAAATAATTTTGTGGTCCAACAATTGATTAATGTATATTTTTCTTTTCTTCTAACATGAACATAGAGTGTCACTTCTTCTTCTTTTCTTTTTTTCATTTTAATTTTTTGGTGAATGGTTATCATTTGTAATAAAAATATTTCTCTTTGGTAAGTTTTAAACATTACTCTTTCTTTTCGGTCATTAATGATTGCGAAAACATATTTGGTACAATTGATGTTTTTTTATTCTTAGTGTAACAAATATTAACATCTACAAAAATTTTTTAAAAAAAAATTTTAAAAAAATACTAACATCTATAGAAGTTATCATTTTTCTCCCAAAATTCCTACTTATTGCATCTGGCAGAATAATTATAATGTAAATATACACAACATTTTCTCAATAATTGCTTTGCATGCTTCCCATGTACTCCTATCCTGGTTTTCATATGTTTAATAAAAATAAAAATAGATTGAGGATAATTATGTGTTCCTTAGCATGATCGAGAAAAGTATATTACTGTATTCTTATCCAATTTGTTTCTTTAGTTACCACAGAATTTGGCATAGTGGAATTGGATCAAGAAGGAAAAGTGTCTTCCAAATTTAGTGAACGAAGTTGTGCGGCAGTTGTTGACCATTTTTATCATGGAAAACTATGTTAGTGATGCAATAATTAGTAAGGGCAACTTGAAAATCCAAAAAGTACAATTGGAGAACAAGGTTGACCATTTGATAATAGAGTCACAAATTCAATTATGAATATATTTTTTTCTTTTACATATATATAATAAAAATGTTTACTATCAATAACAATAACTAATCTATTCATTCATCTTGTATGTAACTTAATGAGCAACGCTGTTGGCCAAAAAAATTTAAAATTAGGTCAGTGATTCTGCCACAACAAAATATAGCATACACAACAAAAATTATTTCTCTTTCTAAAATTACACTTTTAAAATCAAAACTAATTTTCTGTCATTTCTCTTTCTCTTGGTTTTACCTTTTATCTGTCTTCCAAATTCTAGTTTTAGTTTTCTCTTATAAATTAAAACACTATCACAATAATCAATAAACATTCAACATATGAAAATCCCAGGAGCTACAGCTTGAACAAAGAACAAATGACCGCACACTATGTTGATATTTCGCTCAAATCTTCGTGTCACGAGTGGATCAAACACTAGAGCAGAAAGCTACAAAATGGTGATCGTGGAAAATTGTAGGAAGTCATATTGTCTCCGCCCAAAAATCACTAGCAGCTTATATGTAAATGTGTGAATAATTGTGCAGTTATTCTATAGTTTTCATATTGTATAGTTTGTATAGGGGTTGATTTGTACATATGTTAAATTAGTGGGGTTAGCAGTTGTAAATACAGGTAGTATAGACTTATATATTTATAGTTTTATATTTCCACCTGTGCAGTTAGAGATATAGAGTGTAAATACACAAAACTGAAAACCGATTTCCCAGATTCAAGAACTCTGGTTCTTCTCTGTTCTTCTTCCATCTTTGCCTTCCAAATTACAGATCCAAACTTGTAGATGGTATCAGAGCAGGATTAAATCCTGCTCAGAACCAGGCCACGAATCGATTGACCGAAGCAATTTCTCGGCGGTTGAACAGAATCAGAAACCCTAAATTTTGTGATTTCAGTAGGAAATGGAGCTGTATCGTGACGGAGAACGCAAGAATGGTGACCGGAGAGATGATGGAGCTTATGCAAACTATGGAGGAGGAGGATACATCCATCTGCTGTTTATGCATCCGTCGGACAATTCATCGATGGTGGTTGTTTCGAACAAATTGACAGATCTGAATTTTGTTTCATGGAGTCACAACATAAAGAGATTCCTAAGAACGAAAAATAAACTCGGTTTCATCACTGGAAGTGTGGGTGAACCTGCAGAAGGACATCCAGATCATGAGCAGTGGCATAGGGTGAATGGTACTGTTGTATCATGGATTCTGAACTCGATTTCTGAGGAGCTGGGGGACAATTATGATTTGGCTACAAATGCAAAGGATCTGTGGGATGAATTATAGGAGCGGTACAGTACTACAAATGGACCACAGATTTATCACCTAAGGCGGGAGATAGCCACAATATCTCAAGGTAATCTCTCTTTGTCTGCGTATTACTCTAAGTTGAAACGTTTGTGGGATGACCTAAATTGTTTGGATCCAATGGATGAATGTACTTGTAATTTGAGTAAAAGCAACACAAGAGAGAACAGGAATAGGTTAATGGAATTTTTGAGTGGATTGAATGATTCTTATGGTGGAGTAAGAGACCAGATTCTGATCATGGATCCCCTGCCAATTGTTAAGAAAGCGTATTCAATGGTTGTCAATGTGGAGAAGCAACAGATAGTCAACAGGAAATTTGTTGAACTTGTAGAACAAAATGCCATGATGGTGCAAAAGAAACCAGTTAATACAGGAAGTGTAGGAATTGGAAATGCAGGAAATAGAGAAAATACAGTGAATGCAGCTGGTTACAAGCCTGGGAATTACAGGTTTACTTCTAATCTAGGAAAGGAGAACAATTTCAGGATTGATAAAGCATTGAAGAAACTGATGAAGTGTGACAATTGTGGAGGCACAAGGCACCTCAAAGAAGGTTGTTTCAAGCTTATCGGCTACCCTGAATGGTGGGAAGGGCTTAAAGAGAGGAAGAAAGCAGAAGCCTCTGGCAGAAATGTGGCAAATCTTGCAGAAACGCCTTTTGATCGAGAACCAGGTTTACAGCCAAACAGTGAGAATATGATGGCAATGATGAGGTTTATGCAACAGGAAATGTCAAAGATGATGAAAAGAAAATCAGTGGGAAAGGAAGATGATTAAGTCAACTTTGCACATTTCCACGAGTTTGCAGATATGGCCACTTTTCAAGCATTAAGTGCTCTTAATTTGACTGAGAAAGAGTTAGCATTGCTTTGGTTCTTAGATACTGGTGCTACATGACATATGGTTGCATTCTTTAAACTTTTATCTTGTTTTAGACCAGTTACTCAATTTACACCAGTTACATTACCTGATGGTAGTTTTAAAGGGGTAGAACATATACGAACTGTCAAGCTTTCTAATACCTTAGAACTCCCTGAATGCTTGCATGTTCCTTCTTTTCGATATACCTTCTCTCAGTGAATAAACTAGTCATCTCCTCCAAGATTGATTGTTTTTTTTCCACTTCTTTCTGCCTGCTACAGGACCAAGCGACTAGAAAGCTGGTTGCTGTAGGCAAAGTTTTGCACAGGCTATACATTCTAGATTCGACATCTTTTTTAGATACTACTATCAACATCTTCATCGAAGATCATGTCAACCATCCTTTCATTTTTCAACCTACTTCCGGAGTTTCACACTATTCCAACCTAGCAGCTGAGAATTCTACGCAAAAATGGCATATGAGATTAGGGCATGTGCCAGATTTAGTTCTTAGCAAGTTAGGTTTATCTTCCGGAAATAAGTCTGATCAAGACATATGTACTGTTTGTCCATTGTCTAAACAACACAGATTAGAATTTCCATCTAGTTATATTCAAACCATTTCTGTTTTTGACTTGATTCATATTGACTTGTGGGGACCTTATAAAACCAAAACTTTGAATGGTGCATTTTATTTCCTTGCTATAGTTGATGACTATAGTAGATGTACCTGGACCTTCCTTATGAATAATAAAACTCAAACAATTGACATCCTCAGAAATTTCTTTATCATGATTCGAACCCAATTCCAAATTTCAGTTAAAACAGTACGATCTGATAATGGGACTGAATTCAGGTCGAGTGACTGTCAATCATTGTTTACTAGTCTTGGAATTATATACCAAAAGACCTGTGTTTACACTCCACAACAAAATGGTGTTGTGGAGAGAAAACACAAACATCTCTTGCAAATTGCCAGGTCTCTTCTATTCCGATCTAGTTTACCGAAAATATTTTGGGGGGACTCGATTCTCACTGCCACATATTTGATAAATCGACTTCCAACATCTGTTTTAAGTTGGAAGTCGCCATATGAAGTTTTATTCTCAAAAATTCCAAACTTAAATCATCTTAGAGTGTTTGGTTGTTTGTGTTTTGCAACTAACACTTTCCCTCACAAAGACAAATTTGACCCTAGAGCACATAGGTGTGTGTTTTTAGGATATCCAGCCAGACAAAAAGCATACAAACTGTATGACTTAGATTCTAAAAGGATCATTATTTCCATGGATGTGGTCTTTCATGAATCTGTTTTCCCATATATGAATTCATCAAATTCCAAAGATCCTGTTTTAGCCCCTTATCCATCTTTTCCAGATGAACAAAATCATTGGTTTCAGTCTTCTATTTTGCCCCAAACAATTTCTCCTCAACATAATGCTGATCCCCTTGTGGAAAATCCACCTCTCACTGC